GGGGAATTCTGGGAGTTGAAGTCCACCCATCTTAAAAGTTGCTGAGGTTGAGGAACCCTGCCTTAAAGTGTTCAATGACAGTCTTTTTATTTAGTTTTTTAAATTCAGTATTCACCACCACTACCACACTCCAGAAGGCTCAAATATTCAAAATCTTGGCTGATTCAGTTGATTTTCTCTTCCTTTGGTGTGTATATAAGGGGGACCATCTCATTTGGAGGGGACCTTATGGTATACCGGACATATGGGATTTCCAGAAAAACCTGATTTCAGATTATGGAAAGGAAGAGAAACACTGGCAGGAAGTGTGAGCGCTGGCATCTTTTACCTGCTTTGCTGAATCTGCCTCAATGCAAGGCAAGGGCCAGCAAATGAAGGACCATGAAGTGTTGAAAAATGTGGACGGAGACAAGGCAGGTTGCATTCAAGTCTGGCAGTGCTTCCGGCCCCCTCCCTAAGGCAGGTAGCAACATTTAACCAAATAGTGCTTTGGTTTGGGGAAGAAGGGGGTGCTACTCTACCTGTGTGATAGGAATTAAATTAGAGAAGGGGGGGACCCACACGGAGGCGGCACCTGAGCAACCCACAATGGTACCTGAGATTCCTCTGATTTCTTGGTGCTACGGAGTGACTTCTATAGTTTAGAAACCTTGATGCAGAAAAGGGTTAGCAGTGTTTCTCAACCTCAGAGGCTTTAAGGTGGGTGGACTTCCATTCCCAGAATTCCCCAGCCAGCATGCTGGCTGAGGAATTCTGGGAGTGACAGTCCATCCACCTTAAGGCGGGCCGGCTGGGGAATTCTGGGAGCGCGAGTCCACCCATCTTGAAGTCGCCGAGGCTGAGAAACGCTGCCCTAGCTGATGACATAATTCAAGGGGTGCCTGCTAGGGTTAGTGATGCTAAAAATGTGGACTCTTTTTGATGGTGGGTGAGTTTATGGGTCCAAAGAGATGCCTTTCAAATGCCTAAAGCCCTCATTCCACCCCTTAAGAATCCTGCTATCTCACTGCCACCCAGGCCTAAAAGCAGGGAGATGTGCTGAGAAGGTCAAAAAAGTCAAGATGGCAAGTACACGGTTGAAGCTTTGTCTCTTTTTTACAGTACACCTAAAGGGGGGGGCATCAATTGCGCACTCATGGACTGTTTTGACCCTTTTCGCCTGCAGACACCCCATCAGTGTGTTTTGCGAACCACGAATAAGCCTGTGGGCTCATTGAATTAACTGTGGTTAACTTAACCATGGATGTATGTTTATCAGATCAGCACACTGGTTTAAAATGCTGCAAAAACTGATTCCGGGAACAACTGAGAGCTGTCGCCCACCCAGATTGTATGCAAGTGATGGAACACGGGCTGTTTTTTTTTTTTTTTTAATTACCCTGAATTTCCGGTGACCTCTGAAATCCTGGTCGAAGACATTTATGCATTACACTGAACCAGTTTTCTTCAACCTGATGCCCTGCAGAGTGGTTGGATTTAGCGCCTTATTCTCAGCTAGATTCCAAAGTCCGCAAACCGAACACAGCGCCTGGTGACTTCATGGTCAGGAGTTTGCCCATTTTCTTCTTAGGTATTTTTTGGGATTTTCCAGTCTTGTTCCGGGGTTTCCTGGTGGTCTCCCATCCAAAAGCTCATCACACCAGACCCTGCTTTGTAATCCAAGCCCAAATGAGATCAGCCGTGCGCACCCCCCCCCCGAGACTAGTCGAGTCTTTGCAAGGGCTGTTGTGCATAGTGAAAAGTTTGCAAGTGTGTGTGTGTGTGTGTGTGTGTGTGTAAGCCTGCTAGAGGGCAGGCATATTGTCACGGTCAAAGCCTCACCCCATGGTACGTTTGTGTCACCACAGTTCTCTCCTGCATTTTGACCAACAAAAACCATCCGAAGCTTAGAAAGTCCTGATGATTTCCCCAGCAAGACTCGGACACATTGATGTTTTCACTTTTTCCCCCTTCCTTTTTAAGGAATCTCTACCCACTCGGTCAACTCCTTAGGACAAACTCCTCTCTTCACGGCTGCCTTGCTCGGGCTGGGAAAACTCGTGGATATCCTTTTGGATTACGGTTCCGACCCGAACCAGTAAGTACGAAGCATTAATGGGTGAGAATCGGGACTCGGGTAAAATTAGCATTTCTTTTTTTTTATGTTTTCTTTTGCAGTTCTGCAGAAGGTGTGAGAAGAACCCACTCTGTGGTTCTCCGTTGTGGCTCTTCTCGTGAACAAGAGGGCAGGATGTCTCAAACAGGCTGAAAGTGAAAACCTGCAATCTCCCGAGGGGGTCAAAAAAGTCAAGATGGAGGTCACAGCTGCAGGATTGCTGCCTGTTCCCAAGTCCTCAGGCGCTGCAGTCGTGACCACATCTGGACTTGGCTGATTTCCCCCCGAGGATGCTCCCAGCTTTTAAAAGTTGGGGACCCCATTCAATATGTCCTTGTGAGATTAAGGGCCACCATGGGGGGAATAACAGTTGAAACAGCCCCAGCTGTATTAGCCCCATGATTCGTCCCCCATTTCTGTATTTTCCTGGTTTGGGGGGGCTGTTAACCCTAAGCCTGTTTTCAATTTCCATGACTTTTGGGGGAGTTTTCCGCCTCGAAAAGGATTTGGGCAGGGGCGTGGAGGCTTTCGGTCCCTGTTTGCTAGGAAAGCGATGGCAGGTGAGCGTCATGGAATAGTTTCTCCTCTTCCTCTGCACATCTACCTGCTATTTCACTGGAGAGCAAGGGTGGGGTGCCTGGGCAGGTGGTGGACCAGATGTGGGGAGACTTTAGGGCAATCCTTTCTTCTAGCCTCAAATCAGGTTTTAGCTCTGCAGAAGCTGGCTGAAAAATAAAAGCCCCCATGCCTTGTTTGTGCAGCAAAGCTATCAACGCACGATGCAGATTAAGCAAGGCAGCAACCACAATCCATTTGCTGTTTCATTGGGCTTCTCTAAAAGAAGAAAGAGACACAGGACCCATTTCTTCAGCTTGGTTGAGGTTTCCATACTGGCCGTTTTTAAGAACCGTGTAGCTTTCTTCCTCTTCCCTCATCCTCTCTTTTCCTTTCATGTTGTGGCTTTTGGAGGTGACCTCGGTTGTCAGGGATGATCTTGCTTGCATCTGGGTGCGGTCTTAACAAGTTGTAGGTTTGCTATAAAGAACGCTTTTCAAGATGTATCATAGCATCCAAGACGTTTTGAAAAAGAAACATTTTGCTATTTGGATTTTCTACCAGAAACCCCTCCACGTGGGTATGGTTTCATCTTAGCTTTGATAGCATTTTTGTCAAGGAATCTCAGTTTCGTTTCCCATCAGAGCTGACAAGGGATGACTAAAGGAACCGCTTTATAGAGTTAGAGGAAAGACAGAAATCCTGCATGAAATCATTGCCTTACTGTTGTTGTTTCAGCCGTTGTTATGATGGGAGCACCCCGGTCCACGCAGCGGCCTTCTCGGGAAGTCAGTTCATTCTTAGCAAACTGCTCGACGCAGGTGGGGATCTGCGACTCCACGACAAGGATGGGAGGACCCCCCAAAGCTGGGCTGTGACTGCAGGGAAGGAAAACAGTGCGCAGGTGTGTAGTTGGGGGCGTTTAGAGATGTGCCCTTGGAAGCTTGCAAGTGTGAATAACATGACAACATTGGGTAGGAAGTAAGCAAACATTGAGAGCCAGTTGGGTGCAGTGGTTAAAGACTCTTGAGTTAGACACTGGAGGATTGATATTTGGGTGTCCTTGTTTTCCTCTTCCCACCTCAGCCTTTTTTCCTTTTGTGCCATGCCATTTTGAACCATCCCTTTTTATTGATACTTCAGGCGCTCTGAGAACTCTCTAGCTAATCGGTGGCATACAAAAGGCTTTGAGTATATAAATAAAATACAATAATCCCATTCAACTTAGGTTTTTCTTGCCAGGAGCCACAGAGGTGGACCCAGAAAGTGGCGGCTGCTTTGGGCGGGCGAGCAACTAGTGTGGAAATGAGGGCCTTGGTCAAATGGTGAAATGTTCGCCATTTCTCAGCTTGCCTCACTTGCTGACTATTGCAGGCTTCTATAAATAGCTTTGGAGAGGCTGTTTGGTGTAGTGGTTAAAGGCGCTGGACTAGGGGCCACGAGTTCTAGTTCTGATTTAGACCCGAGGCCAGCTGGAGAATTTTGGGCCAACCCCTCCCTCTCAGCCCTAGGAAGAAGCTGGCCCTCGAGTTTATGAAACTCTGGAGGGGAATCGCAATATATTGAAATGCAAAGAGCAACTTCTGTGCCTTAAAAAAAACCATTCGATACCAGCGATCCTTCCAAAAGAACTGAGCACCAAACTGGGTTACTTTGCTCACTTTTTCCCCACGTACCAAACACGGCTGTGTTTTGTTTTATTTAATTTATTTTTTGCAAATACAGGTTCTCTTCTTTTTAAACAAATACCAATCTTGAATGGAAATTAATGAAACGTTAAGTTTTTCAGGGTGCTAAATGGGGTCCCTGCCAATGTTTTGCCATGCCGGAAGAAGGGAAATAAAATTTATTTATTTATTTATTTATTTATTTATTTATATATCACTTTCTTGTTCGGTAAAGAAGCCAAAAGAATCTTTCAAGGGTTCCACCCCCTTTCCGTGCTTTTAAACCCGTCCTTCCCTCCTGCCCCTTTCCCGAGGAAAACTCCTTTCGACGTTGCATGGCTGCGGTTTTGCTTCCAGATGCTCGAATATATCCAGCGCTGCACCACGCACATGCAGGTCGTCCTTCAGAATCAGTCCTTGGATTTATTGAGGAAAGTGGATTCGCCCAGGGCCCTGGTGCACAGCCTGTCCAAGTTTGGGGGAATCACGCAAGGGTAAGTCTTTCGCTCTCCCGTAATACCAGAGCATTCCCTGATGGAAGAGATTTCCAAAGGCCGGCCTCCCTGCCAACTGCTCCTCTGGTGGGGAAAATGCCAAAATCCAGATGTGGTAGTGGGGCAGTATATTTGCTAAAAGGAGCCCCCTGCAGCAGGGCAGGGATCAGCTGGCCTGAGGTCAAAGTTGCTGACTTGGTTTGGCGTAAGGTGGTGAGTAAGAAGGAAAAGCAGGTTCAGTTGCCCTAGAGCCGTGTTTTTCAAACTTGGCAACTTTACAATGGGTGGACTTCCATTCCAAGAATTCCCCAGCCTGCCTGCTTTAAGGTGGGTGGACTTCCGCTCCTGGAATTCCCCGGCCAGGGGGGAATTAAAGTTGCCAAGTGTGAAAAAGAGTGCCCTAGATCTGCTGGTCCCAATTATGGTCATTAAGTGAGGACTGCCTATACTCTCCCAAAAACTAGGGAGGGTCCCTTCTGAGACGCTTTCTCCACCCCCATCCCTCCTTGGCACTCAGATTCCGTTTATCGCACCGTCGTCCAGGCTTTGGTCTTCCTTCTGTCTCCCAAGGCCATTCCCACATATTGATACAGAGGGAGATATCCTCCCCCTTCCCCCCCCCCGACTTGGAGAAGCAGAACCCAGCAGTTTCTTTGCTCCAGCAGAAACGCTGAGAAGCTCCAGCAAGCTCCTTCCTTTTCCCACCCAGCGCAGACTGAGAAACGGCCCAGCCAACACTTCAGCAGCGGTTGAGAACAGCAGCTGACAGCAGTCGATGCCAACTTAGGTGGCTCAGTGGTGGCTAAAAACTTTGGTGTAAGCTCAAGCGACAAAGAAGAATACGGGTAGTCCTTGACTTAGGACTAGAATTAGGACCGAAACTTCCATCGCTAAGCGATGTGGTCATTAAGTGAGTCATGCCCAATTTTACAACCTTTTACACAACAGTCATTAAGTGAATCACATGGTTAAGCGAATCATGTGGTCGTAAAGCAAATCTGAGGAAGCCCCCTGGGAAGGTTGCAAATGGCGATCACATGACCCCAGGATTCTACAACTGTCGTAGATGCATGCTGGTTGCCAAGTGCCAGAATCTTCATCATGTGACTGTGGGGACACTGCGATGGTCGTAAGTGTGAGGATGGTTGTAAGTCACTTTTTTCAGCACTATTGTAACTTTGAACAGTTGTTAAAGAAATGCTTGTAAGTCAAGGACTACCTGTAGACCATTTAGGAATAAGATCTAGACATAAAGGACAGCATAGGTATAATGTAAGATAGTTTAGGCTTAGTGATTAGTAGACAATAAGTTTGTCAATTTTTTTAAAATAAAAACTTCCCTGGGGAAATACATGGAAGATCAAAATGGTCTGTTTGTTGTCACTCTGTACCATTTCCCAAAAAGGACCCCCTCATAATTCTCCATATTGCTTTTCAGGGCAGCTGACAGCCCACTAGGGAGGTTCATGAAACGTGGGAGCACCATATCCCAAAACATCTTCAGTTTTGGGTTTGGGAAGGTAGGACAACAGTTTCAAGACTGTGGAGATACTGGGAGCTCCATTCATCCAGGGTATTCTCTCTCTCTCTTTCTCTCGCGCGTGCGCACACACACACACAGGGTCAGATATCCCATGTGGAGCTCTGAGGAGACTGCCCAAGG